GATTAGCAAAGTTAGTTCCACTAATAAAATTAACTCAATAGTCTCCGCTAATTAATTACATTGTAAAAAATGGCGAGGCCACAGGACCCCTCTTTATTTTTTCATAATAATTGTTGCCGGAGACAATATACAGATAAAATATTTTTATTATAAAATAAAAAAAATAAAAAAAATACATGTATGCGTCAAAGGGGGGTTTACATTTGATTATCCCTCTTTAGGGAATATGAGGAGGTGAATGGAACCGTTTTCACTACATTGATGATCATTAATATACCCATTGTTAAAATACTCGGAAATTTTTTTATTTGATCTTATGAATTCACCTTTATCATTACGACTATTTACTGAAGAGATTAAGGAACGGTTAGGTTGAAAAAAATCAACTTTGTACAGATCAAAATCTTTTTGAAATAAATTTGGTCGGGTACTTTTAATTTCGGTTTTCAGATTCTCAACATCCAAAGTCTTATCAACAGTTACCCCAAAAATATCTTCGAGGGTCTCACCACGAATAAAACAGTTAAGGGTAATATTATCGTTGGTCTTGGAGGTGGTGTTATCATTAGTGCTCATTTTTCGTTCCTAAATACAAAAAACATAGTAAGTAAAAAAATCGTCTTCATAGACTGTATTAAACGGTAAATCCATTACTTTAAAAATAAACGGGAAAGTGAACCAAGTAAAAATATATATGAGCAAAAAATAACGTTATTACTAACTTAACTTAAGGTGGAAACTTGCTTATTTTTATACTTCTCATTCGTTAGATCTGGAGAACCCTGCCAGAACAAAATTACACAATTAGTAATTAGGTTACCCTAACGAAATGCTAGACCACACTTAATAAAGCAACTCCGCTCGGTCATAAGTTCCAAACACTGAATCTATTTTGTTATTTTTCTGGTAAAATTAACCCCCCTTAGATTTGACGATCGCTTAAGGTAGATTTAGATCTGACGATCTCGGAGATGCGGAGATTCCAAATCCCTGCGACATATGAATTTGGATAAAACTACTGATTAAGAACGCTATACTCATTACCCTTATAGCCTTTTTAAGTCCCATTCTTATCGCGGGATCGTATATAATAAGAAAAGGCTTTCTAGATATCGATATTCGTTATCAAAAATCGACCGTGAGAAATTAAGGTAACACCGCATAAAATTTAATGCCGGCCATTGATTATTAAAGCCGGTCAAGGTTTTATCACTCATTCAAACTGATAAATTCGAATATCAAGTGATCGTTCGACCTAGGCCAAGCCACTGTTGAAGTGCTGTTGGCTTTTTCTTAATAAATCTATGTAAAATCGCTAAGCCACTGTTGAAGTAACAGATCAGCGAAATTTAAATTATCGAATTTTTGCGTAATCTTATTTGACGCATGTGTTAAAATAAAGCCAGATATATGTTTACAGGTATGATATTTCTTTGTACGTATCCACAGCCCTTATTCTAAATTTGTATACTGTATACTGGCAAATGTTTATTGAATTTCGTAGACGCATGTTGATCGAACATCTGATACGTACGCATATCGATATGCTTTATTTAAAATTATTGCTAATATCGATATATACACGACAAGAGTATAGCTTATCAGGTAATCTGCCTCTTAAAAACAAACATGAGGCTAACAATTATCGTTATAAGCAAACACGTACAATATCGATATGGGATTAATTATTATGTATAAGGTAATACAGTAGTATCCCCTTATATAAATCCTTTTTGTAATAAAATTTTTGATTTTTTTTTTACCGATAATACACTTTCTTCCACCTTTTCACACTAGGTTGTTTTTGTGTTGATAAGACGACTTCTATAGCTACTTGACACGAGTTTGCTTCGGCGAGTTGTGTAATTAAACATGCGTACAATCTTCTTGCTTCAACAGAGCAGAGGGCTCAGTGCTTTGGCGATGGCAGTTCGTTTGTTCCGCAAAAATATGCAATCTAGCTGTCTTTTAATAATATAGTCTTCTTAGGGATAGTCAAGCAAAAAATTTTGTTTCTACCATTGAAGCGATAGGGCCTTTGACTATGTGTATTATGTATAGAGAAATAATATGACGCAGGGACTCGCATTAAATGGTTTAGGATCCGCGTACTCCCTCCCTTGAAAGCATGTCATATATTTCATATATATTATTAAAAAACACTATCACAGAGGGCGCGATTGTCAGATTATAATTGTCTACGTAGCGAGGAGAGGAAGACCCGATGAGCTTCCCGCGGTTTAGTCCACTGAGCTACGAGATGAGAAATAGTTTGAATGTATCCACCTCACTATACTTTTTCTCTGATAGTCA